AGCTGGAAATAAAGTTTATAGACCCATGTAATCCAATAGAACAGCTCCTAGTCACATGTGGCCAAGCACTTGAAATGTGCTGGCCCAAATTAAGGTGAACCCATGGATTTCAAAGACTTAGTGTAAAAAAGTCATATAAACTATCTCATTCATAATTTTATATTGTATACATGTGGCATTTTTTGATATATGGGGTTAAAGTACAAATAATATTGCAATTAATTTCTTTCTTTTTTAAATGTGATTAATGGGACATCCAACTGCACAGGTGGCTTGCATTATGTTCCTGTTGGGTAGCATGGTCATACTACTGCAGAAGACTTCTGCCTGCTAGTCTCATTTTTTTTTTTGGGGGGGGAAGGGGATACCAAGGATTGAACTCAGGGGCACTTCACCACTGAGCCACATTCCCAGCCCTATTTTGCATTTTATTTAGAAACAGGGTCTCACTGAGTTACTTAGTGCCTTGCTTTTGCTGAGGCTGGCTTTGAACTGGTGATCCTCCTGCCTCAGCCTCCCTAGCTGCTGGGATTACAGGTGTGCAACGCTGCGCCCAGCTAGTCTTGTGGTTTTTGAGACAGGTTGAGGGCACCTTCCAGGGAAGAAAATAAAACGTAAAGGCAGATGGGCTGATCAGTTGTGATTAAGTAATTCTTCCAGGTTTTAGGTGTTTAAATATTTGTTCTGAAAATTTCACTTTGGAAGTTAAATGCCTAGGTTCAGTGTTCAGGGATGAGTAAAATATTGATAGTTTGGGATGTTGCATGCAGTTTTTTTTTTTCTTTCTAGCATTTTCAGAGTTGCCAATGCATATCTTAGATTCCGGAATATCCTTCTGTAAGCTCTTGTTTGCATATAGCAACACTAAAAAAGATGCCTTAGGAGGAAGTGAGACTTTTCTGTACTAGAGTGGGCTGTTTGACCTGAAATTATGGGAAGTAAGTAAAGCTAACTCTTATTGGAAATTAAGACACCTGGGTCGCTTGATGCCAGCGCTAATCTCCAAGAAGGAAAATAAAATATCAAACTGTAACAAGTATGGAAATAATATTCAATGACTCGGGAATTCTAAGAGATTAGTTAGTTTGGGCAAACAAGCTCTAGATAGAAAGTAAGGAGACTCAACTTCAAGTATTTTTTAAATTAAAAATTATTTGAAGTTTAATTCAACTTAAAAATCATTCTATTCTGAGATGAGGACGTTTTACATGGCTGACCCACTGAACCAGGTCTCCTTTCTTTGCTGCCGCTCAGGAGCAGCACCGTCGGCAGTCTCCTTTCCAGCCATAGTCAACTCCATCACTTTCTTCCTGGAGCAGGGAATGGAGCCTGGCGTTTGGGAGCCAGACCACAGCGCCTAGCACAGTCCCCAGGTGCCGTCTTCCTACATCCAGCACGACTTCGGGTGTCCTGGACTTTTTCTTGTCTGGTGAGAGAAGATGTGGAAACACACACTGGGGATTCATGAAGGTGAGGCAGCTGTGCGTTTGGGTTTCATAGAGCATAAGGAACGAGGAGTAATTCCACCAGGAGGGACAGTGTTATAAGAAAGAAGAAATGGGATGCGGGGCTGATTTTTTCCTAGGGCTGGAAAACATGCCAGATATTGTAGCAGAGACAGATGGTGAGGCAGATGCTGGGAAAGAAAAAATGACTTACTACTAGGTGAACCAGAAAAAAACGAATGAGCAGGACAGAGGAGAGAGCACCCCTCTGCTGTCAGGAACGTCTCCCCCTGGCCCTACACCGTCTGATTGTGCCGCTGCCGGGTGGCAGATTGCGGGCGCCTTCCTGCCCACCGCATCCTTGGCATTCACAGCCATCCACTGTGGAGCTTGCTCTTTGCATGCTGGTTTTCCAGGGAAGAGTGGGAGGCTGAGGCTAATTGGCTCTGGGAGGCCAGGAGATGGTGAGAGAGATGCTGCTGCTGGGCTTTTTTCTGGCTCCGTTGGTTGTACATGGCATTGCAGAAACTGGATGGAACTCATCCTGGTTTAACTTAGGAATCCCCGATGAACATCGTCCCAGGGTACGAATCACACCAGTGGGGATGGAACTCTAGGCACGTTCAAGCAGAAGTCCTTTGAAATGTGACTTGGAGATGCCGATGTGGGCACATGTGACCCCGGCCACTTGCAGGGTTAGATCTAGGCTAGATCCGCACTCTTGAATGCCATGCTAATGGGTAATCAGTGATGAGCATGAGAGAGTTGACTTGGGCTGGGCTCTCATCTGGAAAGTGCTTGGGTCCCCAGGTGTAATATAAATACTTCAGGAAAATTGTAAGTCAGTGTGTGTTGTGACTTCATGGAGTTGACAAGGAGTGGCTGGAACCATCTGCAGGGGCTGAGGATCTGCAGTTTATACATGCAGATTTTATGCATGAATGTTAGACCACTCGTGATTGGCAATCACTATGCCATTGCCTGTATTAAACAGAGATGGATGTCACTGAGCCTAAAATAGCCACTGTCGGAAGGAGAAAACTGTGTGAACGAGATTAAGGATTCCCTTACCATTAGGAACAAAGTGCTGACAAGTATCTGATGGTGGTTTTGTCACTGTGTGAAGAAGTTAAATAAATAAATAATGGCTGTAGAGTAACACTGAATAACAGTTACTGATGGGTTTTGAAGGGTAACTTTGGTTATTACAACATTTACCTTATGTAAGCTGTAGAAACTCTAGGGGCATCTACCTTTTTGGGTAAATCTCACTGCATATTTATGCACACCATTTATGTGAGCTTCCATTTATGCACACACACACACAATTTACCAAATCATTGCAAAAAACAAATCTTAACAACATGGAATCCAGAAATAGCGAAGACTTCATCTGTCCCCGAGGTTTGGAGGAGCAGATGCAGCCAGGTCCACCTTGTCTCTTTGCTTCCTGTGTCTTGAGCAGGACTTTTCTCTGTTATAGTAAAGCAGGAAAAAAATCAATTGTAAAGAACGTGTTTCCAGAGACTAGTCCCAAGCTCTGGCATTTCCAGGGGGCCCACCTGGGACCGACAGGTGCCCTGAGTCGGAGGACACCATTTTTGAGGGCTGTTTCCGTCTAGCAGGTGAGAACCGCCCATGGAGCACCTTTGCTCAGTTCTCCAAAAGAATCCTCAGAGCGTGGTGGGCCCGCTGGGGTGGGCCTCTCACCAGGCGTGCGGGCCAGCAGGTGACCTCCTGCCCTGTTACCACGCTCCTGGCCCTTACCCACCTGTGGCCAATCTCCATTTCTTAATATCCTGCCTTCTGCTTCTGAGTCTGGACAATGACTCATCATAGACTAGCTTCCTATCTCTCTTTGTGGAGGTTTATGTGAGAAACTTAGGGAGAGTATAAATTTTCTCTAAGTCCAGCAGAGGCAAGACACTGCCTCAGTTACAGACAGCAGTAATCTATTTTTGTTTTAATACTTTGAAGCTCCCTTCTAAGTCATTTCAACACATGATGAGTGTTTACATAAGAGACACCATTATCTTGCTAGTGTACCATAGTTTGAGAATTTCCTACACACACACAAACACACACACACACACACACACACGGTGCAAATTATGATTCCTGTTTGAGAGACTGCTACAATATATCCCTAAAATTAAAGGTAGGGTTAAGATAGGAGAAAAAAATTCCTGAAGACTCTCATAGGGTCTGCTGTCCTGTAAATGCACATGGTGTAATTGCTAAGGACACTGTTCCAAAGAGGAAAATAGTCACAAGGCACTTAAACTGTGAAGCCAATTTAGTGTTTCTAAGTGGCATTTTATTTGATGCTTTTTCTGACTAGCTTTAGTGCTGTTTTAGTGTGTCATTGAGAATGATCTGATATATTATCCTTGCAATGATAACTTTGAATACTAATGAAATGTTTATGGTTTGCTTTATCAACCACCTGATCTTTTCTCTGACAAAGATATGCAATCTTATGTCATTTCCATGGATAGTTCCCAACAGGGATGCTGCATTTAACTCCTAATTTACCCAGAATCAAGAAAGCAGAAAATTCTAGGAGAAAATTTTATACATAAACATGTTCCATGAGAAATTGCTTATGCTCATAATTGCCATCCATATGTTCTTTGATCATCTACACTTTTCTATAAATTCTATAACCCTACAGCAAGAATAAATATCAACAGAACCCCATTTATCATATGACCCTTCACTTCCTTTCAGATGATCAAAGACAAAAATTACCCTCAGTGCAATTTTATTCTAACTCTTTGAAAAATTGATAAACCATATCATATTGTAAAACTCAAATCACCCAAACATCCCTTCTCTTTCCCCATATCTCCACTCTCTGTCGTCTCAGTTAAATGACAACCTCGATGATGGACCTCAGCTAATTAGAATATACTTTACATTAGCCTCTCAAACCACCTTCTTTCTCAATTGTCCTAAATAGGTTTGGCAAACAAATGTCAATTGAAGAACATCTTGTTTTACGAATAAGCTGTGTTCTTCTGGCAGTCATAATAGAAAGGAGACAGGACGTCTCGGCTTCTCCAGGACCTACATCAAAACTACAGTGAGGCGTCTTATTTAGAGGGGTCCCTCCTGCCCAGCCTCCTCTCAGGGTACCACTAGCGCTTGTCACCACAGGTTGGAAGCTAATCAGACTTGGAGTCATTGTAAAATACAGGTCCCCCAGAGGACTCACTCTGAAATAATGATGGCTAGTTACAGTCTCCCCCTCCAATTAATTTCATTGTTTTAGTTGATAAGATCACAAACGTGAAATAAACCAGGAAAAAAAAATGAGCACTAACCACCAGGAGTCACAGCCTAATGCCTTCAGTGCTAGGAGAGAAAAACGGAGACGTCATAGCCTTGGCTGTCAGGGCAAATACTGTGCCTAAAGGAACCCATCAGAGAGTTTTCCATTTTTCTTATTCAATCAGACTAGTCTGTATATATTTCATTTCCAACTGTGAGTAGACTGAGCCCTCAAGCTGGAATCGATAGTTCTAGAATTTTCTATGGACTCTCTTCACTCACCTTCCATGGGCGTGTTGCTGTCTGGACGGTTTGCAAAGACGACGTCCACATACTCCAGCTGCAGCCTTTGGAGGGAGCCCTTCAGTCCTGGGAGCAGAAGCAGGAAAAACGAAAAGTAAGTACACACACTACTGCAAAGAGTTTAAGTTTGGTTTCCTTCAAGAATTTACTTCAAAATGAAAAAGAAAAAAAAAAAGAAAAAAAAGAAAAGCATTGGATTAGTTTAAAAACACATTGAAGGGGTTAGGGCAGGATGAAACTTGATTATTTGAGTCACATGTGAACTCATCTTCACAAGAGCTAAGGAAACCTGTGCGAGTGCAGTACCTGGCTTTGGCATATCAAGAAAAGATGTGCTCGCTAAAGAAGGCAGGAGGACAGAGTTGTCCACACCCTGCTCCAACTCAGGCAGGGACACATCCTGGGGAGATTGGGGAGGGAATTCAGTGCCCAGTGCTGGGCAGAGCCCCAACGCTCCTACCCCAGGCCTGTGCTCATGGACAAAGCTTCTGGATCTACCCTGAGGCAGGCAGGAACCCACAACCTCAGGGAGATGGACCTGGATTTCGGTCTGCTCTGGTGCCAGTGATGCACTAGCCTGCAGGGGGCTCAGGTGTGACTCAGCTCAACAGCAACTGAGGGATTGCTTCCACCAATCCTCCCCAACCTCAGGCAGCTCAGCTCAGAACGATTCCATCGTTAGCCAGTTTCAGCAGGGAAGTGAGTGTAGGGCTGTTAACTTGGAACTGAGTGCTGGGCCTGCCAGTGAAACTCAACACTGGGCAGAACCTTGCCCCCAGGCCAGGGCTCGAGGACCTGCAACCCAGTGAGATGGACCCGTGCTCTAGCATCCTCTCTGGCTGGTCGCTCTAGTGTCAGGCCACAACCAAACCCTAGGAGTAGGCAGGAAATAGCAGCATGGGCCTTGTTCTTGGCTCTGGTACTGACCTCATCAAGCTGTGGGCTCCAAGCATGACCCAGCATTTGGTGCCCAGGCATGGACCCTCCACAGTGAGGCCCATTCTGGGCAGAATCCTGCAGTGCCTGAACATAGTCGGTGATTATATATGAGGTGTTTGGGCCAACTGTGGCCTCAGGTGGAGGCTAGCAGACCCAACAAGGTTGGACTGCTCTCTTTAGGCACTACCCCTGTCCATCATGTATAGTACATCAACTGCAGACTTACAAAAAATTTAGGCAAGGGGCATACTCTATTACTAAAACAGTGACAACACTCCAACTGTGGGCTCATGGCAAACCTGAATTTAGGGTGCCATCTAGTGCTGAAATCAAGGCATGACCACAGACTCAGAGGACACAATAAACAGCTTGCTTAGAATTTCTGGAAGCATAGACACAAAGCCAAATTATGAACACTAGACTACACACCTGATCCTTCAATGCATGGATGTTGTCATATGCCATCAAGCATCAAGAACTTTCAGGGAACCTAACCTCATTTAACCCACAAAGCAAGACACCTGAAACCTACCTTAAAGCCATGGATATCTCAGAGAATTCAAAATAGCTGTTTTAAGAAAACTCAATGAACTTCAAGAAAACACAGAGAAACAATTTAGTTTTCAGAGAAACTTAACAGAGAGCAAGAAACCTTTAGAAAGGCTAAGAGAAAAAGAGAAGACTCCAATAGTCAGAGCAAAAAAAAAAGAAAAGAAAAGATATTACCACTAACACTCAAGAAATGGAAGGAATTCTAGAGGCTATGATAATCAACTATATACATCAGTAAATTTGATAAATTAGAAGACGTGGATAAATTATTGGACATATACCTCTTATAAAGATTGAATCATGAAGAAACAGAAAACATGATCAGACAAAAAATGAGTATTGAGATAAAATCAGTAATAAAAAAGCTCCACTACTGAGCTACCCACAAGTCTAGTGGGTAGCTCAATAGTGGAGTGCAGGCCTGGAATATGTGAGGCCCTGGCTTGAGTCCCAGCACTGCACAAAATAAAAAGCAACAAACTCCAAAAATGAACAAAAAACAAATAAGACTCCAATCATCAATAGTTCAAGACTCTATGTCTTTACTGCTGAAGAAGAACTAACATCAATTCTTTTAAATAAAATAATTAAAAAATTTGAAGCAAGTGATAATAGAAACGCAACATACATGAAATTATGGTATTTTAGAATTATATAGATTATAATTTTTAAATTATTTCTAAAAATTGAAGAAGAGGAAGTTCTTCTAAGCTCTTACCGTAAGACCAGCATTACTAAGAAGAAAGCTACAGGTCAATATCCTTGATGAGCACAGATGCAAAAAATCCTTAACAGAATACTAACAAACTGAATTCAACAGCACATGAAAAAGAATATGCACCACGATCAAGTGGTTTAACATTTTCAAATCAATAAACATGATATATCACATCAACAGAATGAAGGACAAAACCCATGTGATCACTTCAATAGACATAGAAAAAGTGTTTGATGAAATTTAACATTCCTTCATGATAAAAACTCGGAACAAATTAGGTACAGAATAAACATACCTCAACCAAATAAAGGTCATGTAATAAGTCGACAGCTAACATCAGACTAATTGGAGAAAAGCTGGAGATTTCTTTCTGAGATCTAGAACATGACAAGGATGTTCACTTTCACAAGTTTTATTCAACACAGTATGAAAATCCTAGCTAGAACAACTAGGAAAGGTAAAGAAATAAAGGGCACCCACATGGTAAGTAGGATGTCAAGTGGGTGCTGAGTGCAGATGGCATGATCTTATGCAGAACAAATCCCAAAGACTTTACCAAAAACTATTGAAACTTCTTAACAAATTCAGCAAAGTTACAAGGTATAAAGTCAACATACAAAAATCAGAAGTATTTATATTTCTCAATTGTGAGTCACCTGAAAAGGAAATTTAAAAAAGCAATTCCATTTATAATAACTACAAAAATATAAACAATATCAAAGAATAAAGTTAACCAAAAAGGTAAAAGATCTCTACAATGGAAACTATCTAAACATTGATTGAAGAAATCAAAGAGGA